GACACCTAAGATCTTAATTCATTCAATAGCCATCTTTTTTCTTCTAACCATAAGCAAGTGGACTCTCTGCCATTTTTGGATCACTTAGGAGAAGACACAAATAACGATGGAACAGAAGAGTAACTACATCTAGGCCAGGAGGTTGTGGAAACCGCTGTAGAGAAAAATTCATCAGAATGAAAAGGTCATTTGGCACCGTGGTTTGTGTTCAGGCGTGCTGTTTTACAGAACATCAAGAGAAGGCCCTTCACAAAACATTCTTCAATATCTAATGTTTAGAAGAGAAACTTTTAAACAATATTTCAGGAATGAGGGTCAATTTGTACAGCTAGCCAAAACTTGTCAAAACTTAGGAAAGAGAGTTTAATTGGAGGAGGCATAGAAAAGCTAAGGTTGTTCTTAGTAGAAGGTAATAGAATATGTGAAATCCCCCATCTGTGTACAGGCAACAATGAGAATAGGGTGTTGATCAGTGTTTCTCTTTAGAGAAGTGATATACAGCATACTTCAATAAATGCATGCAATGTTTATCCAGCAAATCAAAGCAGTTGGCATTTCCATTTCTTTATCATTTCAAGCTCCTCTTTTCCAGTTATCCACAAAATACATAAGAGTTCTGTTACTGTAACAAACAAAATAGCTCAGATAATCACCTTAAGGAGAAAACAAGTTTATTTTTGTTCAGAGTTGTAGAAGTTGGCAGATGATAATCAATAGGCCCTGTTTGTAGTGAGGCAGTATATATATCATTATGGCAGGCAGTATAGGCTGGAGGAACCTGCTTGTCTTGTGTCAACCAGGAAGCAAAAATAGGAAGAAGTAGTGCTACGGATTTAATATCCCTCCAATTGACCTAACTTCCTCCCGCTAGGCCCCACCTCCTAAAGTGTCCATCAACACCCAAGAGTGCCATGGACCTGGGAACTAAGATTCAACATATCAACAAAACTGCAGTTTAAGTTACTATGACTTGTAATTTTCCAACTGTGTTTTTTGCATCAAATTGTGCTTTGATATCTACTATTTACCTCTCTCTATCCTCCCTTCCTCCCCTCACTCTTCTGTAGTAAGCACATCAGAAAAATACTTTAAACTGTGTTTAAGGAGATGGAAATGCTTACTCTTCCAATTTTATACAGTTTAATGCATTGTATACATTTAGCAAATTATCATCAAATGAAAACTTTAAAAAAGAAGTGGTAGTATTAAAGCCATTACAGTTAAGATAGACAAGGGATGTCTTGAAATAACACAACCGACATTTTGGGGGGTAAAACCTGAGCTGACTGGAACTATAATCTAAATGAACAGAAATGTGGCATCAAATGGTTAACATGTACTAATTCATTTAGAGATCAGCCCCTGGTGTATCACATAATTTGATAGACAAAATGTTGACAGCAAGAGTATACACTCTTAACTTCTCACACAAATTAGTATAATTTAATACAATTAAAAGCTGTGAGAGATATCCACTGAGGTGCAGGATTGTAGAGAAAAATCCACATATGAGCAGCCATAGAATCACGAAGAAGAAAGGATTACAGAAGGCCCAGGAGGCTTTGGGGGTGGGGGGTAAAGATAAGGATTCATGTGTAGTGCCAACCAAAGATCAGACCAGGCAGGAAGACAATGGATGGTCAGGAACAAAAGTGACAGATCCCTGGAGCTGCAGGATCTTGGCTTGACCTTGAGTTAGCAGATGAGAATAAGTTAGGAATACTCAGGTATTTCAGCATAAACCTGGAAATCCAAAGAGGAGTTGGCTTGACATGTGCAATAGCTGTAAGAGAAGGAGACAAAGCAGGACGAGCTCCAATAGGTTTAAAGTAAATGTGTAGCAAGACAGTGAATGCAGGGTGGATTGGGGCAAGTGTAGGCAGGTTGGCAAGGCAGTGGATCAGGGAGTGTTTATAGCATACTATCTGGCCACATGATGTTATATGTGCATTATGGGTTGTGTCACTTGAGCCACAGAATAACCACTTGTGGTAATTAGTAGCACTCTAGACTTGTCCTCCAGACAAGGTGTCTTCTCTTTAGAATAGGGAGCCTCTGGGGACCGGTGAATGTTAGCTAAGTGTATGAGGACTAAACAAGGGATGAGTTTCCTTCTTAAACCAACATCAGATTCTTAGTCTCCAACATAGATATTGATCTGTTTTAAAAGTTAACATAAAACCAAGCATTAGTGCTCATTCACCTATAACTTAGCTACTCCCAATGCTGATATTTGAGGATCACAATTTGAAGTCAATCCAGGCAGACATATCTGAGAAACAACCAGTAAAAAAAGCCAGAAGTGGAGCTGTGACTCCAAGTGGTAGAGCACTAGCCTTGAATGACACACATGAGTCCAGGATTCAAGGAAGCCCCGCCCCTTCCCACAAATAAAATAAAATTTTTACTTAAAAATTAACCAGATATTTCTTTGGTCCTGGCTTACTTCACTTAAAATAATTTTTTCCAAGTCTTTCCATTTCCTAACAAATGGGGTGGTGTCATTCTTTCTGATGGAGGCATAGAATTCATATAGATAGATAGATAGATATTGATTGATAGATAGATAGATAAATAGATAGATAGATAGCTAGATATAGATACCACATTTTCTTGATCTATTCATCTACTGAGGGGCATCTGGGTTGGTTCCATATCTTAGCTATGGTAAATAGTGCTGCAATAAACATAGTCGTGCTGGTAGCTTTAGTATGGTCTTGTTTGTGATCATTTGGGTAAATGCCCAAAAGTAGGATTGCTGGGTCATAGGGGAGCTCTATGTGGAGTCTTTTGAGGAACCTCCATACTGCTTTCCAAAGTGGTTGAACAATACTAATACATGTGTAGGACAAGCAGAAAAGGCCAAAAGCTATGTACATATGACCATATAAGGTGAGGTTAAGTGAAATGAACCCCAAGATAAGGACACAAATATCTTTTTTCTTTCTTGCTATTGTTTCTAGTGTATTTATAATGTACCATGTGATTTTTGTGTTTCTTTGAATGTACCTCCCCCATGGTATAACCCCTATTTTCACTGTATTTGATCTTGGTGCCCTGCATCTTGTATATACACTTCTCTAATTCGGGGAGGGGAAAGAAAAAAGCAAAATGCTTAAATAAGGATACAAGGTTGACCCATTGTAACAATGAGATGTACAAAACACCATGTTGAAAATGAACTTTACAACTTCGGTGGGGGGGGGTGAGGTGTGTAGTGGAGGTGGGAAGGGAGGGATGGTAGGGGGAAAACAAAGGAGGAGGCAACAATGCTCAATAAGAAACATACTCATTACCTTGTTCGTGTAACTGTAACCCCTCTGTACAGCATTTTTACAATAAAAAAGTACAAAAAATTTAACCACATATGATAGTGTACACCAACATTTGAGAGAATGAGGCAGGAAGATTGTGAGTTGGAGTCAAGCACATGATACATAGAAAGAACTTATCTCAAAAATGAAAACAAGCCAGCGCTGGTGGCTCACGCCTGCAATCCTAGCTATTCAGAAGGTTGAGATCTGAGGATCATGGCTCAAAGCCAGCCTGGGCAGGAAAGTTTGTGAGACTCTTATCTCCAACAAATCACTAGAAAACCGGAAGTGGCACCATGGTTCAAGTGGTAGAGCTGAGGGACAGCACCCCAGCCCAGAGTTCAAGCCCCACGACCATAAACAAAAAACAAAAACCAAAAATCCAAAACAAGAAATAGTGTGATGATTCCTTATAAATATATTTTTGCTTATCTTAAAACAAAAATCCATAGGGAGTCTTCAACATTAAATTATATAAAAATCATTTTTTGCCTCATACTCCCATTACCCTAGAGCTGTATAAAAAGCTTTGTTGTATTTACAAGTCAACTGACAAAAAATAAGAAAATCAATTTTCCTACATATGCTCAGCTCTCCCAGAGATTATTTTCTAGTTTATGTATTAAAAAAAAAACCTCAAAATCACTGCACTTTTTCTTTTTTCAAAAAATATAGAACAGAATATTTTGATGTGTTGTTCACTTGCAACTTGCCCTCTCTGTGGATTTTATTTTTTTAATCATTTTACTCAGTCTGTAAAAGTCTCCACATTTTCTAGTCTTATTTATTTTTTCTCATGTAGATTTCTTTATGGGAACCCAGAAAAGAAGAAACTGAATTAAAAGTGTGCTTCTAGCTATGTTTATTATTTGGGTTTCTTTTTTTTTTTTCTTCTATCTTTTTCCAAAAAGACTTAAAAGGACTTGCTGATACCTTTGTTTATAAACCTCACCTTACTCTGAAATAATTGGCAGAGATCAAAAGGAGTGGAGGGATAGGTGCAATGTGATCAGCTGATAATCATTTCTCCTTTGTTTACCCAACAGAGTAGCTTTCATATTAGAGAGATTGCCAGCCAGATTCATTTTCTCTAGTTAGGCAGCCAGATCCAATTTGGTGGGAAGGTGGGAGGAGAAAGCTTTATCTCACAGTGGAAAGAGCTGTCTGTTTGCTCTGAGGAATGGAGTGGAATCTTGTGGGGAAGAGAACCAGAGAAGGGATATTTGTTTTTCCTTAAGTGGTTATAATTAAAGCCTTCCACCCAATTGTTCTGTGAACCAGAAAAAGGTATTTATGAAGTTGCAAAAATCTTTAGAAACTTGACAAAGAAGGCTTGCAGCCATGTCTAAAGAAAAAAATTGCTCTCTTCCGCCACCTTGTGGGTAAGGCCTCGTCCTGCAACGGTAGATATTGAGTTTTATGATTGAAAGGTTGTGTCTAGTAGTGTTGTGTGCCTCCTCCTCATCAACCTCTTTTTTTTTTTTTTAAAGGAACTTGGGATGAATTATGTAAGCAGTTGTAAGTCTATATAACAATCACTAAATAGGAGCTATATCTCCATGTACAGGTTCCAGAGTTGTGATGATTCTTCAAATTGCATCATTGAAATAGTCTGTGGGATTTTTGAGGTTGCTTATTCAAGAAAGCATGAACTCAGAGTTTCAAGTATTTTTTTTAATTTTCCAGGGGGAAACCGGTTAACCAACCAGCATTTTCGTCTGAATTGGGCATGGATCTCTTTTGAAAAGGAATATTATCTGGTCAACGAAGACTCCAAATTTCTAGATGTCATCCTTAAACGCAGAGGTTACTTGGGAGAAACTTCATTTATAAGTAAGTTCAACTTGTATTTCTGTCATCAAAATCTTGTTTTTATAGTAAAGGCTTATCATTTTTTTCCTTAGAGTGATAAAAACACTAATTTGGTTCACAGGTTTAAATGCTTAGGGAGAGGAACATATTCACATTTAAAGATTCTTTAGCTGCTAAAAATATAAAAATATAAAAACAATTTTTGTGTAGTTACGTACATCTTTAAGCCTTCAGCCTAAAGATGATCTTTCTTAGGCATCAAACAACTTTACATAATAGAATGTAGTCACTCATATGTTAAAAAATGAAAACTGATGTCACTAGTGTAGAAAAAGTTTAAGGGACTCTATACTTTCTGTATAAAAGTCTGAATCAGTATAAGGAATGAATTAGGGCTACTTTAATAAATAAACAAAACTATTCAGTGATCTTTAGACAACAAAGTGTACCTTACTATTTAAATGTTCTGGTAGCTCACTAAAAGTTGCACGATTTCCCAGACACTATATGAAAGATTTATGTTGTCTATTTTCTTTGTCACCAATATTCCAAAGCAAAATTCTAATCCTTTCTTCTGTATTACATCTTTTAAGCAAAACTGAAAGTCAAATGCAAATTAATAATTTTTCAACTGTAAGTTAGGTTCATTTTCTTTCATAAAGCATAAAATAATGAAAAGTACACATATTTAGATCATTTGAAGCAATAATATATAGTTAGCACTGCATACTTGATATGTCAATGAAAAAATTGCAGTCTCTTAAGCATTATTTTTTTGTTCCCTATATTTAGCAGACATTTAGGCTGTTAGAATTTATATGGGTGAAAGAGCTTTTATTGAGTGAGACTATCAACTAAGATAAGGATCTATGGAAATGCCAGCAAAATAAAAGCTCAGGAGCCCTGTGATTATTTTGAAATTTTACTGATCCATCAACCCTTAACCAACCAGTAGATCCCTATCAACAGAAAAATTTCTGTTTGTCTGTCTGCCTGTCTGTCTCTTTTGTTTTGATTGCCTCCCTGTATTTCTCTTTTCCTCCTTCTCTGTCCCTCCTCTTTCTCCCCTACACACACACACACACACACACACACACACACACACACACACACACACACACACACACACCCTATACTTTGCCACTTAACAAATCAGTCTACTGAAAAAGAAAAAAATGCACTGCAATCTTTGTGTCATTTATTTTTCTGAGATCTGTGAGACAAATTTTGCATTTTGCAATTAATTGTACAAAAAGCCTTTATTGTGATATTTATAACATTCAAATAATATACTTTGGTCAACTTCATCTATCTTTCCTATCCCTTCTCCTCCCAAGATAAATATTTTTTTAACAAAACCCTTATTTTTACATTCATCTCAAGGTTCAATTAACAGCCAGTGATTTAAAAATTCTAATTCATCTTACATGAGCAATCTGAGGACCAAAGTTTTTGTCTGTTTTATTCTCTGATAGAGACTCCTGAGGCAGGATTGAGGCCTGACACCCAGTAATTCCTCAGTGAGCATTTGTGTTTGAATGGAAAACTTTTTAAATTACATTTGTTTCCTCGTTTAAGTGTTTATCCTATCCAACTTCTCTAAAAAAAATTTATATTTTTTAAAAAGTATACCTGCAAATTACCAGCCTGATTCACTAAGATTCTGGTCCCATACAAAAGGAAATACCAGGTAACTTGATGGAAGAGTAGCGTCGAGATAGAAGGGAGGAGGGAGAATGATAAAAGAGATAACATTGATCATAAACTGACATGTTCAATCAAAACCCATTTGTACAAGCACTGAAAGATTTAAAAAAACAAGAATTTAAAAAATTAAAGGATATACAAGGACAAGGAGTATTTCTAACTATTCTAAAACAGAATTTGTTCCCTGCATTTCAGCTTACAGTCTGAGTACCTCATGCAGTGGTCTTCGTTTAATGTAGTTAGAAACAGAGACCCTTTAGCCTTTCTAGCCCACTGCAGGTGACCTTGAGTGACCCATCAGAGTCAGACATGCATACTGCTCAAAATAATTACATATATTAGCTCTCCAATTCTGTTCACATGGCTTCATGGTATTCTGGAATGTTCCACAAAGACGCACCTGGCAATGACCATAGTGATCAACTAAATTTGATTCTCTAAGGAGTCTTATTTCCTTTGAATGTTCAGGGAACATTGCCATTTTCTTTTATTATTCTGTTTGGATATTTATGAAGTAAGATTGTCAAAGAGGTCTTTAATCACCTATTGACCTGTGTTGGATAGTTAGAGAGTATTTATGTTTTTATGAAATAGTGCAATCTGTGGGAAAGTGAATGTAAAGAATATTAAAGTTTACAGCTTTGCAGGTGTAAGGATATTGTACAACATAAAAGCAAATTTACTGTTTCATTTTTACTTGCACAAAATAATTGTGCAGTAGGATTTGTCACAATATTCATATACATGTATATATTTCAAAATACATTATATTCCCCCTTGCATTTATTCATCCTCCCTTTCTTGACTCTCTTTCCTCTTCCTCTTCATGTTAAGAGTCTTTAAAGGGTTTCGTTATGCTATTTCCATGTCCATAGAATGTGCTTTATTTCATACCTTCCTATATCCTCTCCTTTCCCCTTTATTCTATTCAATCTTATTTTGCATGAAGTTCCAACACAAAATTTGCCCAAAGAATATATAAGCATATCATAAATAGGGAAAGAATCATAAGGTACCCAACACTATCATCATCTAACTCTCACATCGGACCCATCCCTTGATTGAACTATCAAACAAAGTGTCACACAAACCATTAACAGTCCCAATTGTAAAAAGTTATTAATCAGGTTGAGTGTCTGTGGCTCACACCTGTAGACCTAGCTATTCAGGAGGCAGAGGTTTGAGGGTCATGTTTGAAGCTAGCCAGGGCAAGAAAATCCAAGAGACTCTCATCTCCAATTAACAAACAAACTCAAAAGACAAAAGTGGAGATTTGGCTCAAGTGGTAGAGCCATGCCTTGAGCAGAAAAGCTCAAGGTCAGCACTCAAGCCCTGAGTTCAAGCCTCAAGACCAGCAGAAACACAAACAACAAATAATAATCCTCAGGGATGAGGTGCAGTTCAGTGGTACTTGCCTAGCAGGTGTGAGGAGCCATGTTACATCTCCAGCACTCAACAAAGATAGTTGGGAATCCTATTGAAAATAAATATGATCTTTCCATGGAGGTATTGGCACGAGAGATGGGACTGCGGTGAAAGACAAAGACTTCAAGGGCAAAGCTCAAAAGCAAGTGCAATTCAACCCGGGCCAAACCAGGGCCACGTGGAGGGTGCGGATCCTGAGCGATGGTACACATGAGCAGTCGGAGACCTTCCAGGTGATTCTCTCGGAACCAGTGCTGGCCGCCCTGGAGTTCCCTGCGGTGACCACCGTGGAGATCGTGGACCCCGGAGATGGTAAGGACCTGCTAGGTCATTGCCAGCTTGCTAGGTTATTGCCAACTAGGTTTTCATGACAAAATGCCTTACACAAGGAACCTAAAATCCAGTATTTGGATTTTTCTGTGCAGAGAATTTTTCTAGATGAACGGTTCAATTCTCTTAGGGAGGATAATGGGAAGAGGAAAACGTAAAAAAAAAATAATGATGAAGGGAGACTATTTTGTGGGTTTTTTTTCCCAATGAAATACCCCTATGGTTGATAATAATCAGTGTTTTCTGATAGCACACTTGTTTTCTTTAGGATCGACATTGTTCGTATTCGTTCATCTTCAATTTATTTCATTTGCTTTAAAACACTGTCTTACACCAGGCGATGGTGGCTCAAGGCCGTAACGTTAGCAACTCAGAAGGCGGAAATCTGAGAATCTCTATTGCAAACCAGATTGGGCAAAAAAAGTCTATGTTGGGTCTTATCTCCAGTTAACCACCAAAAGGCTGGAAATGGAGGGCTGGCTCAAGAGTGCCAGTCTTGAGGGGAAAAGCTAAGGAACAGCACCTAAGCCTTGAGTTCAAGCCCCACCACAAGTGCACGCGTGCGCACACACACAGTACACTATTAACTAGTAACAAGTAATAAAATAACAACTGAGACTAATGATTTAAGAGTTAGACTGCTTAGCGGGTAACTTAATAATTTCCTTGTCTCATTCAATTATGCAAGTGGCTGTCAGATATTTGCCCTATTTTCATTTGGCTATCTACTTCCTCACATTTGTTCTAACATCTGCTCCACCCAACTGGGCTAACCCAATCATAGTAAACGCAATGCTTTGACTCACTGCCCTTAATTTCTTTTAGATTTTGTGTGTATGTGTGTTGTGTGTGTGTGTGTTGTTTTTTGTTTTTTAGGTGGGGGGGTTGGTCAATATACACTCGTGGTTGCAGTTGGGAGAAGTGAGCCTGGATGCTTTCCTATGCAATTTGACCTTTTTCTGCTCCTGCCAAATGCCCACAATCCTGGTTTGTCTTGATGGAAGTTAGTCAGGGGGTGAGGTTGGTGGGTGGAGGGAGACTGATTGAATGGCTTTTTTGAGGGTTGGCATTTATACAAACTTTGTAGAGACTTCTAAAGCCGAAATCCTGTCAGAAGCCAGACATGACTTTGTTTTAAACTGCCAGCTTATGTTATTTTGTTAGAAAACTCTTAAATGCCATGCAGAGATATTATCTGCTGATTACACTAATGGAGATGGGTGTGGAAATCCCTGTGTTAAAAGATTGAACAAAATTAAAGAGCATAAATCAGAAACCAGAGCTCCAGCATCATTGGTTTAACTAACTCCTCTGCCTTTCACCAAATACAATGTTAAATTATGTTTATAATTTCCATTAAGGCACAGTTGGCATTTTACTACATTTACAATCTGCATCATCTAGGGAGAGCTAATTAAATTTTCTTCTAGTTCTGAGCTATGGGTATATGAAATAATGAAGTTTTTCATCTTTAAATAAACCCAGGAAGATATTAGTTCTTTTCACCTGGTTCATTAATAAAAGTGGAAACCATTTCTTGAGATTTTATTTGCTAGTTGGTACCATTGCCGTACTTTTCCTTTAGGAATAAGACATTTTATACTTATTTTTGCCTTCCTATTTATAAGCCCAGAGTGATACTCTCAGTGCTGTCTCAGCAGTGAGATATTAAAACAATACACATTCCCACATGCATACACACATATACATAACCTCACACACACACATAGTTTCCTATACAATGCAGTCTTAATTTCATTTCATGTATTGATCATCTGAACGATCTTTAGAATTTTCTAGATCAAGTTGTCTCTATTCATTCCAAACCATAACTAACATCTGACAATTGATAAGTATTCCCTAACGCTTTATTATGTTCTATGTCTTGTTGGAGATTATTGATCTTGAAATCATAATAAATGAAAAGCCAAGCAAGGGTTGATGGCCCTAAACTCAAGCCCCAGTACTGTTACACACTCATACATACTCACACACATACACCACACACACACACACACACACACACACACACACACACACACACACCACATTTGAATTTGACTCCAACTTTACCTTAAATGAAACAGCTACTATGGCACAGTTTTGTTTGTTTTTTTTTTTTTGATTGGTCGTGGGGCTTGAACTCTGGGCTTAAGCACTGTCCCTGAGCTCTTCAGCTTAAGTCTAGTGCTCTACCAATGGAGCCACAGCACCACTTCTGGCTTTTTCTGTTTATGTGGTGCTGAGGAATCGAACCCAGGGCTTCATGCATGTGAGACAAGCACTCTACCACTAAGCTACCTTCCCAGCCCAAGAAAGAATTCTATAAAACAAAAAGCAGACTTACATATTATTGTTTCTAAAATCACTAATCCAGTGTTAGATTTTTTTGTTTCAGAAATTCATGATCTTTTATTCCCGCCCTACAGAGGATCACTTTAATTTTTTTAATTGTTTCTTTGTACATTTTCTCTTCCTACTTCACATTTAAATTCACTTTCCCTTGGAACATCTCTTTCTATCCTACCCACCCCTCCCGATATTCATTCTAAAGTAGCTTACATGATTTTTGTTGGCATGCATATTTTATATACTTTGTATACTGGATATATATTTTTGGCATGTAACATTTTAATATTATCCAGCTCTTCCTTGGCATTACATACTAGTGTTACAAAAATACACTGTCTACCAGAAACAATAGGAAGAGGACCCTGCACGAAACATGATGTGATACAGTAAAGTATTAACAAAAACCAGAGAAATTGAACCACCTCTGCTGAATTTAGGGCTGGGAATCGCGTTTACTTCTTAGCAGGTCTGTATAAATACATGCAAGTCCATACTTTTCTTGGTACTTTCCTTACTCATAGTTGCCTTTGATAATGGTAAATTTGACAAATGGTAAAACTGAGATTCATCAAGTACTTCCCACTGTTTGCCAGACAGCATGGTTCGCACATCATATTTGTGCAATCTTTTTAATCTCATTATCGTATAGACACATCTACCATTTTTAGATATTTTACTTGATGCTTATAAGAGGTTCTTAATTACATGTGAGAAGCTCTAGAACGTTAGTACCCAAACTGTATGACCAGAATAGCTTTTCCATTTCAAATCTCTGCATATACACCCAAACACGCGCCTACAAGAAGTGCATACATGCCCCCTACCTTCTCACACATTCATAGTATACTGTTTTAATTCTTCCTACCCACATAAATGTTTTATATCACTCAGTTCTGATTCAGGTAAAGATTTAAATGATGGTGTCTCTGCCATGGATCAGTATCTAGATCCACTGAGGAAAATAGCATACTCTTGAATGCTTACTCGTGGATTTCACCTGAGCAGGGCTCAGTGCTCACACTAATGTCAGTGATTCCTTTGACCGGCCATGTGTTTTTGACCCTCTGTTTGGAAACCACGGCTCTGTGATCGATACTGTCCACCCCTCTGTTGAGAGAAGCCCTGTCATTAGGTGCTGTGCAGTGTATGTACAGGACCCTAGCCTGTGCTGAGTGGCAGGCACCCTGGAGTCCATGAGCACAACAGTCTTCCCAATCCCATCCCTGACAGCTTTGGGATAGGACTAAATGTGATGAAGCTAAATCTTGAAGCTCTGCTAGCAGATGGTCCCTGCTTTCTAGCCAATCAGGATAGGACCACCTGGGATCAGTCCCACCTTTGGATCAAGAATTTCACATCCAGCTTGATGAAGGAGGCTCACACCTGTAATCCTAGCTACTCAGGAGGCTGAGATATGAGTGAAGATTGTGGTTTACAGCCAGCCCAGGCAGAAAAGTTATCTCCAATTAACCAGCAAAAAGCCAGAAATGTGACTGTGGTTCAAGTGGCAGAGCACTAGCTTTGAGCAAAAAATGCTCAAGGACAGCACTCAGTCCCTGAGTTCAAGTTTTAGGACTGGCACCATAAAAAAAAAGAAAAAAGAAACCCATTTCATTATGTCAAATAGATACAAGAGCAAGGCCCGAAGTTCAAATCCCATTATTGCCAAATAAATAAACAGATTAGTAATTAACTGATTGCTTGAATGAAACATTTGTTTACAATTCTGTGACTGTCAGTTGGCAAATGAGATCACTGAGGTTTAAAGACTTTATTTCCCCCAAATTTCCAGGCCCCAAAGTGGTAGAAATAATATTGGAGAAATGAATCAAGTAGTATACAAGTATATACATTTATGTATACATACATATATATGCATATCCCTCCACCGCGTATTTGTCAGACTTGATGTCTCTGTGACCATACACCTGGCATAAACAACTTTTGGTAGAAAGGATATGTCAGCGTAAAACAATTCCCATCACAGTGGCCAAGAAGTAGAGGAAGCAGAATACTGGAAGGGGCTAGGGCATAATATTCCTCAAGGACATTTCTCCAGCGACCTAGGCTTTCCTTAGTGCACTCAGGTTGACCATTAAGATAAACTCATGCACTCTTCTTAAGCTCTTTCCTTTCCTTTGAGTTATACAACCTGCCATCATTTATCATGACTACACAAGGGATATTCCAAATCATAGTTAATAGGCTTGCTTAGCCCCAACAACATCACTTTAGTTACTCCTATGAAACTAACAACAAAATCATTTCCTTGTTTCTTGTTCCATTGCATTTTTTTCCCATATTGACTGGAATGCATTCATATAGCTAGGTGAAACCAAATGTTCCATGGAGATAAGCGAAACCCAGTCAGCTCTTTCGTAACGTATCTGTACATTCAGCAAGACAGCTGGAACATCTTGCTAGATGGCAGCCATTCCACTAAGAGCTAAGGACACAGGTGCTACCCTGTCCTTTATGCTAACCCCTCCAGATAGTCCTATAAATGAGGTGATTGCATTCCACCATGTTGTTAAAATTGAGTGTTAAGTGCCGGGACAAAGGAACAAACAGAACTCATGAGAGATGGGGCTTCTTTTTTGTCAAGGACCCCCTGGACATTTATACTATCA